CTTTGGTTGAAACCGCTCGTGCCATAAATGAGCATAGTAGAAGAGTTTACCTTTAAACACAGATATGGCTTGGCAACAAAAACATTCACCTAACTGATTGGTGAATTGATGGGTAATAAATGAAGGATTAATAAATCCAATCAAATGTGTAGATCCACCAGCACCACAAGAATTACTAAAAATGATTTTTGTAACTGCAAAAAGGTTGCGGAACTTCAGGCGGATGCCGAAAACTTAGTCTGTTCTGCAATGCAACTTGTGGAACATGTAGAGGTGATAACTGCCAGAACAGCCCTTCAATACAGCCAGAAGAAGATAGTGATTGTAACAGCAACTCCGACATTGAACAGTAAATGTTGTTTCAGTTTGTAATAAATTATGATTATCTATGGTTTTATTAAATAATTTTTCAATTTGTAATCGAATATATTAACTGTTTTTATTCAAGGGTAGTTTTAAGAGTTAAACAAATTGTGGATATAGTAATTATTTTTGAGAAATTGTAATAACATTCATATCATTTTGAATTTCTTAATTTCTTTCAATTTCAAAATAACTTTTTCAAACAATTTTTCATCAAGAGGATGTTTCCAAGGGCCTAAAAAGTGTCAAAAATTTAATAATCAATATAGAAAACATAAAATATTATTTACTTTATACGTTATTCTTATTATATCACTAGCAAACCCGACGAACTCCGTTTCGCCACCAGGTGGTTTCGTGAGAAGGATGAAGAAATTTTTTATTTGTTTTATAGTTGAAAAGAAAAATTTGATTTTATTACACAACAGTAATGAATTTATTTAGATTACAAAAGTAAAGTGTTTTTTAGTTCAACTTCTCTAAGTAAATGAAAGTGAATCCGCAAATTATCCGTTTCATTGAAGTGCTCTTTGGTACCACATTTTTTATTTTTTGGTCTGACGTTAACAGATGGTTTTCCAACTCGTGAACAGGCAACGTATAACTACCCATGTAAAAAACAATAATTTTCTAAATAATCTATTTGAAATTTATCCTGCAAACTCCAAGCGATTGGCCTTGCGACTTGTTATTGCAAACGCAAGGCGAACTGGAAATTGCAATCGTTTGAAGTCAAACGGAAGACCAGTCGGAATCATTGGTAGGTCACCAAATCGCCTGCAATTTTTGATTGAATGGTGAAATTCAGTGCGTGTAAATCATTATTCTTTGCGGCAAGAATTGCTCGTTGACTTAACCAAGCATAATTCTGATAATTCTCACTAATGTCATTACTCGAGTTTTCAATTACGGTGCTTGAAGTTCCAGCAATTGGCATCAAGGCACGCTGCCATGCACCACTAATTTCCTTAGCTATGAACCTTGCGGAGCCCAAGACCTTTCCAACGAATGGAAAATTGTCGAAATCGGTTCGTGCTTTCTGGAGTTATATCGACAGGAAGGAAAACCCGACTTATTTTTATATATATGTAGATACCAAAATTTATTTTAAGTGCTTTTTCAATTTAGAAGTTGTTTGAAGGGTTTTTACGGGGTTCAAAATGATTTTATTGCAAAGTAAATGTATTAAAACTTCTTTTTAATTTTAATATTAAAAACGTTTTCTAGCGATAAAATGGCTCAATGTCCACTTATTCATGAGGGGTCGCAATCCCCCGGGGGTGGTGTTGGAGTCCACATTGTTTCCACTTTTGGTCTTGAGGGTAATATAAACCTAATTCCAAAATTCATGCAAAACGGAACACAGTAAAAAATTCAGAAGTTATACCATTTTTTCTTCTCCGTTTACCGCACTATTGAAGGCACGATGTCATGCACCACTAGTTTAATTATTAAGTTGAATAACAAAACTAGAAAATAAAATCTAAATATATATTTTTAAAACTTGATATATAATTATTTATCAACTCTAACTACTATCACAACTTTTTACATATCACACTAATAGTTACTTAATTGATAAATAATGATAAATTAACAGACATACATTGTATATCTTATATATACTTATTATAAAGAAGGTAAATACACATGTTCTGTTTATTATACAGTTTTATGGGCACATCTTTTTACAATGTCATACTGCAAACTACCTCTGTATGGGATTTCGTCAGAAGAGTTTATCGAGTTGGAATTTAGAGTTGGATTAACTATACATTTAAATTATTTCTCGTAAAATTACTTTTTTAATTTATATTGCTTTTTTATTTACTACTTTGTTATCGTTTACACATTTTCAATGTAAAGGTTCAGGTGGCCCTTTTTACCACAACCACATTAAGCTATTCTAGAGGATATATAAAAAAAACTGTCGAATTTAGCTTGAAAAGATACATCTTTTAAAACAATTTAATAACGTGATCTTAAAAACCACATTCAGGTATCGTAAACCTAATAACAGTTCTTAAAACTAAAAGAACTAACAACAAATGCTTTAACTTTTGGTAAAATATTGACAAAGTTCATCTCGTGATAACTTCAGATCTAATGTGATGGGTGATTATGTACCTTTTGCTCTCTACTTTATAATAGTAGCGGTAACTAGTCGCGGCGTTCCAGACTAACGTTTATTTCTTGGTACGGAACTCATTGAAGTGTTAACTAAATTTGTACTTATCATTAAAATCTCTTAAAAACATCTGACGATTTGATGTGCATGTGTCTAATTGTTCATTTTTGACCGCCAGATGGCATATTTTTTTTACTTTTTTTATTTAATTTCCAAAAGTCATGCAAGTGCCTTCCCAAAGATTTTATCTTTTCTTTATTTTATCAATTCAAGTTGAAGTGTTTTTTGGATTATTGAAATCGGACACTCTGTTCTCTTAAAAACTGAATTACCATTTTTGGCACTTATTGCCGCGTATCTTTGAAACGGCTACACCTGCCTTTGCCAAAACTGAATCAGCACGTCTCTATCAATAGCAATCAAATGTTTTTTGAATAGTTCAAATCGGTTGATCCGTGTTTCCCAAATCCTCGAGGAAAATTTGTATTTGAACACACACATACATCCATTTTTTATAATGAATGCTAAAATATTCAGAAGGCTTTGAAACGTAAAGATATTCAAATTTTCCATTTTTTGCGATTACTATAACTTACCCTACGGTAAGTTAATCAGTACTGATATTTGACAGTTTAGGTAAAGCATGTGAAAATAACGTCATCTTAAGAAAACCAGTAGGAAATGTTCAATGATTGACTTTCAAACACTTTATTTATCAAAACCACATAGCTGTATTTAAAGAAATGTGCAAAGCCCAATATAGTTTATGATTTTTCCTGATATAAATTATTTTGCAAAGACAGAACTAATGTAAGTAAAAATGAAGTAGATTGCGACGAAATCACTATAATTAATGATGACAGTAATATACAATTATGTGCTGTTTTGATTAAAACTTCTAACGCATTTTATATAATATGTATATATTACAGTATAAATACAGATAAAATAGTTAACAAAAATTTAGTAGCCCTTTAATAGTCATTTTTATTCGCCCGACAAATTTTGTATTGAAGTCAGGGTAGATAAAACATCATAAGTGGAACTCCACTTTTTCTGCAAGAGATATCTAGGCATATTCGACCATCTCCATATGCATTGGGATTGCGAACAAAAACTCACGATTTGTGGCTTATGCGGATATTTATCTGCAAATTCTAAGGCTAATTTAAAGATGTCATCCTTGACGAGTGTCTTCTATACCAAAAATAACCGCGTTCCAGAGCATTATGTTGTCCGTCCAGGGTGATCCAGTAATTCCAATCAGGGGCTCATTTTCCAATCTCTTGAAATCACTCATCAGGCATCTTCTTGCTCGAGAACGCATTATGTAGTTAGTATATCGGTTTAGGGCGTTTGAATATAAGACATAAACAAATAATTAAAAATAACGCAATTAAATGTATTAGTTTACAGAATTTCAATTTTAATGATTTAGTTTTTGTCTGTTCAACTTTTTTTGTTGTGTACATTGCATTGGCGCTTTTTACGAATTCAGATTAAAAACGATTGGTATGCATATAAAATTATTTTGTTTATCTGATGTCATTTACGTTTTTTGTTTATGTACATTGTATTGGCATTTGTTTTGGCGCATTTGACGGATTCGGATTAGTTACGATTGGCATATAAGTAAAAGATTTTAATGATCTCAATTTAATATTAGATCAAAAAGTTTGAAAACTATATTATTTTTAGTAATTCCTTGAAATTATGAAGTAATTTTTCGCTTAACTATCTAACTCACTGATATTGGGCGTAAGTTACAGTAATTGCAAAAATTCGAAAATTAACATTTTTATATATCTATACGTTCCAAAGATTTCTGAACATTTTGGCACAGGGTATCGCGGGACTAAGCGCATGTAATGACGAGCGCTAATAAAATGGGTAATCTGATATTGCAATCAGTTTTGCAATTGCTGTCAGGAGATGTACAGCAATATGTCAAAATTTCAATAAAAACTATTTATTTTCGTCATTTTGTTCTCAAGCATTGTTGTATAGTTCACAGCGCTTAAATACAGTATCAAAGTATTAAATAATATATTTAATTATTTTTTTAACCTAGCTATACAGTTTTTTTCTATATACCCTTCTAAAAGAATAAAATACAATTAGGGTAAAAACCATTGGACCATTGGACCTTTTCCTACATCAATTACATATGGAAACTCCTCAGTTACACGTGGTTTTATAAACATAGTCGCCATCTCGATTTGCAATACGTCAACAAACTACTTCTTTTATTATTTAGTATACCCATCTCTTTTTTTTAAAAAAAACCTTCACCTATGCATTGACTTGAGGTCAGTTGTATTTATTATATATCTTTCAGCTTACTACCTGTTCACTTTATCGTTCAGTTCATAGAAACAAGTATAAATAGTTCAGATTGATTGATTACTTTCAGTGATTCAATTTGGTTCAAGTTTTTTATTAGCTTTATTGTTCACTTTTTATTATAGTAATATTATATATTTTTTATTTTTAGTTCATTTATTTGCAGAAAGAAGACCGTTATCTTTAAAAAACTAGCGATTCCGGTTTATTGTTTAATTCTAACCAATACTCCACCAGTTTATGAAATATTTTTTGGTACATTGAGGATGAGGAATTACAAAAGAAAAACTAATCGAGGAACTAAATCTGTGGATTTCATGCAGCGTGCTGCTCAATTAGTTTTAAATGAAAATGTATCATTAAGGGAGGTTTGTCGTGTTTTTGAGTTAAGTAAAAGTTCTTTATCCAGATTTATAAAACGAGTGCAGGATGATCCTACGAATTTAAGATTCGGCTACGGTACTCCAAGGAAGATTTTTAATATGGAACAAGAAGCAAGTCTGACAGAATATTTGCTCAAACTTGCACAAATTTTTCATGGTATAGGACCGAAAGAAGTTCGTCGCATGGCTTATGATTGCGCAATTAAATTCAAAATAAGTATGCCAGAAGCATGGCTTCGAAATAAAATGGCAGGTAAAGATTGGATGACCGCATTCCTTACACGGAATACACGTCTTTCAATCAGAAAATCTGAAGCAACTAGACTTAGCAGAAGTACGTCGTTCAACAAAACTAATTTGCAAGAATTTTACTCGAAATTAGCTAATGTCATGAAAAGTTTTAAGTTCAAAGCTTCGACCATATGGAATGTTGATGAAACTGGTGTATCGACTGTCGCCAAACCTTCAAAAATAATTTCAGAAAGAAAGCAAAGTGTTGGTTTTGTAGCATCAGCTGAACGTCGCCCTAGTGTAACTTTATTAGTGGCGGTATCAGCTACAGGTTTATACGTTCCTCCTATGTTTATATTTCCTTGCGAACATTTTAAAGACCATTTAATTAGAGATGGTCCTATTGACTGCATAGGTGCAGGAAATTCTAGCGGTAGTGAAACTAATGATGAGTTCTTTACGTTTATGCAGCATTTTATTAAGAACGTTAGGCCTAGTAAAAAGTCCCCAGCTCTGTTGATTTTAGGCAATCATTTATCACACTTGTCTGTACCTACACTAGATCTTGCTGAAAAACATGGAGTGGTAATGCTTTCTTTTCCTGCACATTATTCCCTCAAGCTGCAACCGCTGCACGTAGCGGTATACGGGCCTTTTAAAAAATACCTGGTTCAGCTCAAGATGCATGGATAAAAAATAATCTGGAAAAACAATGACAATATATGATATCCCTGGGATTGTTCGCCCTATTTTGCCTTCAGCTTTAACACCAAATAATATAATGAGTGGATTTAAAGAAACTGGCATATTTCCATACAATCAATATAAATTTGATGACGATGTTTATGCATCTAGTTTTGTCACAGATCGTCCATGGAAAGTGAGAAATTAAAAACCATCGACTTCGGCTAATGCGCAATTAGTCAATTCTCGAGAAGTATTTTTACCTGAAACTGTGATACCACTATCAAAGGCTGGTCCTAGAAAGGTCAATAACAGAGAAAAACGTCTCTATCTGCTACTTTAACAGATACAACAAAAAAGGAAGATCCAAGAAAAAAA